TAGTGTTATTCTTATGCGTAAATAATGAAAGTAATTTATAATGATAATGATTAATAATTTTTTTATTTTGGCAATATCTTAGAAATTATATTTTAATTTGGATTTGCATGATACCAGTAACATATTTCTTATGTTTTATAAATTTTTATACATTTTTAATTAAATACTTTGCACATATCATATCCTATTATTTGTAGAATGACTATATCACTACATCGGATTCACATCATACTGTATACAATGTGTATCAGATTTGTGCATCCTAAGGTACAACGAAAAGAAAAGGCAGAAAAGTGGTCCACCGCTACATTCAAGGGTGACCGCTCCACACGACCATTTACTATTGACTAGCATTGTTTGAGGAAAGTATCAGATTTAATTCAATAACTTATAACCAAAAACTAGCACCAACTTTTAGATAAAAATTATGGAACCAATGTTCCAAAATCATTAAAATAAACTGTTAGAATCAAGGCAAAGCCAAATAACTGTAAATCAAATTTACCTATTCCAGTTTGCAGAATTTCTTTGGTGCCTCGCATCAAGTGTGACAGGAACTTAATTCGAGCAGTATCATTGGGAAATAATGATCGTCTAATAGAAGCAAGACGCAACAGGCATTCCAGAGCCTACAATTAATAACAACAAATATGGGAAATCACCAATATAAAGAAGTGAGGTTACACACCTACATAGATCAAAAATTGGAAGTTGAGGAATAGAAAAAATGAATCAGTAATTTCTTTGCATGCCTAATTTTGCCATTATAATAGAACTCTAGGAACAAAGGATCAAATGCAAAAAACCTTAGAGAAGCTCACATGCATTTATGTCATAGATATAAAATAAAAGGACAACAACCAAATAGTATATTCATTTAAAATATGGCAATCAATTTATCTATCACTAGTATCAAAATATATATATTAGGATAAATTGAATTTTACGAATAAAATTACAATGCCTGAAATCGTCAGTAAATTTGAACAATAAAATACAAATAGCAGGATAAGTCAACAAGATTTTAACTATAAACAAGACCTCAAATTAAACATATTCCAGTTATATGTTACGAGGTGAACAAACCATGACCTAGTATTGAAAGCAATAACAATTTAAGTTTGTCACAATCAGAAGCAAAAGCATTTTGGGAAGATAAATCAACTCTATCAACAAGAAACCTAAAGCAAAAGCATCTCAATGAAGCCAAGGACGATAGATTACATTACTTGGATGGGGGATAAAGGAAACGGCATATGGAGAAAAAATGTACTTTACCATAAATTACATACTTCTTGCGAAAGACAAGTTTATCACATTCAAAAAGAAAAAAAAAGTAATATAGATGAGTAAAGTCAAATCAAGCAGAAAATAAAGTCTAATGATGCATATAGTAAAAGTAGGGTTGAAATAGTACAACAAGATTAGTAAATTTTATTTATTGTTAATAAAAACCAAGAAATAACTTAATATCCAAGTCTGTATTATTTAGAATATTATGCAGTAAAATGTTAATGAGCTGATAGCTCTATAGCAACAAGACAACCCCAGAGCACTAGACTCCTCCAGAGAATTACTCTCCTCCTAACCGACTCATAACTTCCTACTCCGTACCCATTCACACTCTCCCTTCTCTCTCCTATAACAGAATTCCCCCATCTCCATATTCTTGACAAGTCATTCCCCATCCTAACTAACTTCTCACTCTTTCTTTTCCTAACCCCACTTTCTTTCTTCTGACACAAACATTCCATATTTTGGGCCTAACTATTGCTTCTATAATTATTCCTTGCTGAGTAACAAGTCCATGTTCACTTCCCACCTTATGATCCTTATTAGGAGTCTTATCAATTGTCTTCCACCAAATACGTCATTGGTGCACCTATTTAACATTTATCACAAAAAAAAAGGATCAAGCAGCAACAAAACAGCAAAAAAAAGGAAAACACCAGCCTTGCTTGTCTTAGACTCCCAAGGGAATGTACCATAGAATCCTGAACCATTTTTCATACTTAAATATAAGCAGAATGTAAGGGTAGGTTTGCCATTGTGGATACTTCATACTTTGATCCCAAAGAACCCTTGCATAACAAGGGGAGATGAGTATATAAAAGTATAAAGCCAATCATAGACATACACATAAAAGCTAAGGCTCTTTGGAGAGCTGGTCCGTGACAATAGGATTTAAAATAACTCATTCAGAAGTTCACAATTATATAAGACCACAAAGATCAGTGAAAAAATAAATAATTATGCAGCTGAAATGAACCAGAATACATTCCCCCGTTGGCCACAAATACTCAATTTAATTCTATTAGAGATAGACTGTACTTGTAGAATCCTAGAAGTATAACTGTACTATTGGGCCTGCACTGTAGTACTGGGATGGTCCAATTACATACATACATATATATATAATCGACATTAAGGAGCCAGCTGGCTGGTTTAGATAGAAGTTAGCTAGGTGTCACATCAGCTGCAAACGGCAACTGATTCGAACTTCCTGTAACAATACAAATACTATATCTAATCATAATAACAAATAAAGAATTTCATCAGATTTACTCTCTAATATTGCATCAGGAATTCAAACATATTACGCTTTATCCAGAAAATGTACGCAACAAAGAGAGGTCCTAACATCTCAAATAATATTCTTTCTATACACAAAACAAAATACCAAGTTAATAACAGTGAGGGTTAATCCCTTGAAAAATCAAACAAAATGCAGCAGTAAATAAAAAGTTTATCATAAAAGTTTAAAGCACTGGCTCCACTGGCAAATGGAATAAACTAATATAAACGAACCTCTTTTGAAAAAACTTGATTCAATGCATAATAATCAAAAAATATTTGCAGTGTTGAGGAATCCTCTAGGGCAGGCTTCCATCCCGATGGAACCTGCACAACCAGTGCCAATTCAAGATCAAGAACTGCAGACCAGACAAAACCAAACAACTATCTATGTACACATATTATACCTGAACAGTACCAATTTCATCTGAACTTTCATCATATGATGTCCCCATAAAATCAAATGATAAACAACTGAGAGAAAGCATAAGAGAAAGTTCCTGCAACTTGTTCCCAACTGAATTTTTTACAAAAACAAAGAACGATTACTAAATTCAAAGCACGGCATCAGTTTAAAACTTTGAAAATGAAAAAATGTATACAATCATGTTCATAACAAATATATGATATACCATCAGATTTTAACTGGAAGAGAGAAGTTAATGATATCGAGAATATCTGAAAAAGTGAGTGATCCCTGAAAGAGCTAGCTATCCTCCGTTGCCTAGCAGCAGGTAATCCAGGATTGTGCTGAAAATATATAATAAAATAAATAAAAATAACAACAACTATATCAGCAAAAAAGTTCTAAGCAAATATAATACTTAATTCTATACGGAGATATCAAAATAAATAATGTTGTATTGCAAGAGAATATGCACAGCCACAGTACAAAATTTATGGAATATTTTGTTGCACAAGCTATGAATCAAACACCAACAAGAAGTAAACACATCCGAGCAAATAAAACAATGAAATAAAAATATTAAGAAAATGGGTGCTTCTGCATATCTAAGTTCAGTTTTTCTGCAGTATCTAAGCTCAGTTTTTATGCGGTAATGTTGTTCAGTGACAATATGTCGTTACTCTTCAGAGGCATTACGTATATCGTCTACCCATTAACCCTTGCAATTAAGGTTATCAAATTCGAAAGTTTACGTAAACTCGTGAGAGTTGAGTAAACTCGTGAGAGTTGAGTAAACTCGTGAGAGTTGAGTAAACTCAACTCGTAAACTCGAAAGAGTTTACTTCAGATGAAAAAAATTATATAAATAATATCTTAATTCAAATAAGTCTACAAAATTATATAACTTTAAATAAATAAAATTTATAGTTATATTGTTCATAAAAGTAAAACATAAATACTTGGATTATTGTCATTAATTTTGATGCATTTCATTAAATATATAACTTTCAAGCTTGTAAAATCGCTCCAAAATCACAAAATTCTACACGATACTACCGATTTCACAGTCGATTCTACCAAGTTTACGCAAAAAACGAGTTTACTTCCGAGTTAACTCGGAAGCCATGTCTAGGAACGTAAACTGAGTTTACGAGTTAACTCGAGAGTTTGATAACCATGCTTGCAATGCTAAAATGGTGGATATGAGTTAAAAGAAGACCATGTCAAAGTACCAAACCATATAACAACACAATATGATGCTAATATTGACAACTCACAGTTTTGACATCCCATATCAATCAGTCTCCAAGATAGCAACAACTAAACCAAACAAAGCAGACACAATGCAAACAAATAGTTCCTAATACTCATATATAATAGATGCTCAAATCTCAAAATTTACTCAAGTGTGAAGATGCAGAAAACTTATACTAGAAAACTTATAACTTAAAGACAAAACCATCATTGACTTCAGGCAAAGCATACAAAAACAAATAAGCAACAACAAATAAAAAAACACAACAAAATAAAAGTGCAGTCCTAAGAAGTGTGAAACAAATGCTTTGAGATACACCAAGTGCACAGCTTTTAATAATCAAGCTATTACTTCCTGTTGAAATATAAAGCATTGATTCTGACCTGATTTATCTCAGAAACTAACTGATACAATATCCTCAAACCTATAGCATAGTGATGTTGTGCCTGCTAAAAGTATCAATTGGTCAGATTAAAATTCAAAACAATCAAATCTGTAGTACAAAAGAAGATATATTTAATAATTAATAAATATAGTAAAAACAGCAAGTACACAATCAAAACCTCAAACAACACATGCCAGTAACAGAGAAACTAGTCAGCATGGTGGATTGTGGTGGTTAATAGAACTTGACTCTGTCAACCAAAATCTTCTTTGTTATCCTATCCTACATCTAATTTACGATATGTTAATACTCCCAATAAAATTAAAAATATTTGTTCAAGAATAACAATATAAACTTATTATAAATATTCTTATGGGTCGTACAACTAGTTTGGGATACAAATATCCTCCATTTCACGCAATATCTCCAACCACCACCTCTCCACTTTGCATCTTCTTTTTCATCGATTGTCCTGTCTACATTGCATGTTTTTAGCATTGTAGAGTCATGTCTCCTTTTCACATCATATGTTGTGGCATCTCCTCCACACAAGTCCCCAACAACCATGGCATAACTCTTCTCTAGCACCATGATCTTCCCATTGAAGTCTTGTCTCTTTACTCCATGTCGTGAGAGTGTGTTGTTTTACCCACCCACCCGGTCATTCTTTTTTTATTATTTTGTTCCTACTACTTTTCACTCATTATATTAGTCTATGTGGATGATATCATTGTTACTTGAAATGATGAAAAGGAGCAACAAAGGTTGAAATATTTTCTATGAAATTATCGGAAACGAGTAATCAACCTACAAACTAGCAAATACACTTGTTGATCCAAATAAAAAGTTGAGAAGTACAAACGATGATGTTGTTGTGGACAAAATTTTGGTGAGACTTACTTATCTATCTCATGTTAGACCATATATGGTTTTTTTTTGTGAGTCTAGTCTGTTCATTTATGCATCAACATAAGAAAGCACATTTACAAATTACTCCTGGAATTGTCAAATATTTAAAAGGGACAATAGGAAGAGGAATTTTGTTGAAAAGAAACAAGAATGTCAATCTTGAGGCATATACAGATGTTGATTCTGCATGCTCAGTTATGGATAGAAGGTCAACTACTAGTTATTGCACCTTCCATCATGGAAACCTAGTAACTTGGAATAGTAAAAGATAAATGGTGGTAGCTAGATCTAGTGTCGAAGCAGAATTTTGAGCAATGACTCAAGGAATATATGAATTGTTATGGCTGAAGATTACACTGGAAGCCTTAAAGACAAAGGAGGATGAACCTATAAGGTTATATTATAACAATTAATCAACAATCAACATACTGCACAACCCTATCCAACATGCTAAAGGAATTTTCTCTATGGAAAATGCAAAAGATTGTAGGAAAGCTATGCTTCCAAGAGAATGGTGGGAGGTATTTTGGGGATGGAGCTTCAGAGTTGAAGAGGTTTGCTATTCGAGTTTTAAGCTTAGCATGCAGTTCTTAGGGGTGTGAGCATGATTAGAGCTCATTTCAAATGGTTATTCAAGTTTATCAAGTTATTTGTGGTTTTTAATTTTATTTATTTGGTGTATAATTTTTAGAAATTCATTTATCTCTAGGTTCATACAAATGGAAGAAACCGTTTGCATCACAAAAAGACAACTGACTTGGTTTATGTCACGTATAACTTGAAGCCGAAAATAAAATAAAGTATAACAGATAATGAACATAATTATGTTTTAGCGGGTAAGATATATTAGAAGATAAAACACCAAATCTTCATTGGACTCAAGTTCAACCAACTACATATATTTAAGTAGGAAGCTTCATTTTGTTAAAAAAATAAGACAATTAGAGGGGGAATCTTTCTTCTTGGCTTCACTTATAGTTGTATTCTGTATTTATTTTGTAACAATGTGATTTTCCTATAGTTCAAGTTTTCATCTAGTAGATGGTGAAGGAGAGAAAATCAATATATAGCCTTAAAAAGCAATAAAGACATATACAAACATGTGTTTGAATGGACTCTCAAACTTCATCACTCAATACATGCAGCTGGTTATTTTTTGAAACCCCATGACCAAAGATCACCACAGACCAAAAGATAAGTCTGCAAAAAAAAATTCCAGAAAGTGCGTTTTATTGTAACATTTACATAATCCATATCATGTAACTAGCACTAACCCCATTAAATATTCAAGACCAAACAAAATTTGAAGCCTTGCTGCCATAGATTTCCAAATAATCCAGAATTCCTATACATAATTTCTACCATTTTGCAAAGAAGTTGTGCAAAGTCCAAGGGAAAAGACATAAAACTCTAGCAATTTCAACTTCCAAAAAACCTCAAGGACAACAAGCACTTTCAAAGAATAATACAAGAAACCTAAGCATGGTAAAAAAGCATAGACCCTACAACTACTTTATAATGGCCTTTAATTTATGAGGGATAGAATCTAATATCAAAAGTCACGAAATGCTTAATAGCACAGTAAAGAAATAACAAATCAAAGCCGCACATTTTAATGCTTGATGCACTTTACTGGATTGCCAAAACAAAACACACGGGAAATATATGGACTCCCATATCAAATTTTAACATTCATCGTGTCACCTGACTCAAGAAGTTCATTGCCTCCTTAACAACTTCCCTGAATTTGTCATCATCAAGCCAACCAAACTTTGTAATGCGACAAAAGAGTTGGATCAAGGATCCAAGAACAAAGGGCTCCAGTTCTGGTCCTTTGCTTGCCAGATAATTTATGAGGTAGTTTCCTTCAAAAAAAAAATAGCAATTTAATCAATTTGGGCTAAAAGAGAATAGGAAATAGAGCAACCACAGTGAGGGAAAATTGACAGCAAGGTAATCGAAAATACTGAACCCAAATTCCCCAAAAACAACACGAAAAAGAAATAAGAGAAAACTCAAATTATCCACAAAATAAGGTGATGCCAATTTTGGAAAAGAGACTTCAATACATGCAAAATTAAGTCAACAAGTATCTTAGAATGTAATTGACGAGGTTCAAACATCGCTCGGTAAATTCTGTTTAGGAAATAGAGAAATAATGTATTCTTTCCCGCAGACCCAAGCCAAATATTCACAGCCCCTAAAATACTCCTAGTCATAATCATCTGCAAGCAAGAATATTACGAATATCAATCCGGAGCTGTAACGGAAGGCTTTGCTCAGTCACTTGCTTCAACAAGCTCGAACTTGCCAACATCAATGCATACGGAGAGGATGCATTATCCAGAACATATTGGCACTGCGAAATGTAGTCACTGTTCAAGGAAAAGCATTTCAGTGTGCTTTCCGCTTGTGCTCTTTCAACAGAATCCTGCGAGTTATAAAGCCTCTCGCACATTGCTTCCAGCTGGGCTAAAGTCTCCATTCTTCACTATGTACGAAGTGTATCCAACAATTCAGATGAAGAAGTCAGTTCTTCTACTTTTTCCCACGTATAACCAATATATATCTACAAGATTTCATGTGAATTCAAGCATATATTTAGAGGTGGTAGAAACACACAAAAAAGAAACTAAAGCAAGAATCAGTTTAATACAAGCACCACACAACACCAGAGTTGATAAAATTTGATAAGGTAACACTAAAATATTAAATGTTTACAGGTGTACAAGATAATGTTTTCAAATCTGAAACTGTTTCAATTACAAGTATACTCTAAAATACAAAGATAGCTCTGTATAAAAGGATCACAGCAGAATTCGCCATCAAATCCAGCTACAATAGCACTTGTCCAAGTAAAATGATCAGTGCAGTCCTGACAGAAAAAAAAAGGAAATTATTTAAAAAGTAATTCATAATGTAGAATCTATTAATTAAAAAAACTTTAAGCACATGATAGAAAAAATACAAAAACATGTAAACAACTGACATTGTCTTGATCATTATCAAGAAATTGTTCTGAATTCTAAGCAAATCTTGTTAAGACCATAAGAGCAACATCATTAAAGCATGGTAACATATCACGTGTCAAGGCCTGTAAGAGGATGCCCATGAATCACATCGCATTTCCCCAAAACCAGAAATGAAACTAGACTTTAACTCTAAAAGAAGAAAATATATTCACAACAAGATGCAACTCATACTAGATGAAAGATATGTCGCTCCCTCACCTTCCTTAATCAAGATAATATTGTATAACATAGTGGCAAGAATGTTCCTTCTTCCCGTAAAAATTGGGTATGGTAAGAGATAAAAATCAAAATCAGTCATTGAAGTTATTGGCATAAACTATGATTGTTTTACAATAATAATACCTACATGCACTATATATGAACCTTTGTTAGCACCTATTAGCAAACCATATTTTGGTCAATACGCACTTAAAAAAGAGTAAATCCACAACGAATGAGTACTTGCCAAGTTTTGAAGAAGGTATCTCTCACTGGGCTATCAATAGTGACAAATAGTGCACTATACCAGATTTAGGTCACTGCGTTATACACACCTTGTATTGACCCCTTCATTCTTCTCCACTCATGCACACAACCACTCTCCAAGCTATCTCTTATTTTTTTTCAGTGACTCACTCCATTTTCAATGACCTGCTCAGTTCACTACTACAGATTTCTTTCTTCATTTTTGTGCTCGGTTTCTTTTTTTCTTTTTCTTTTTCTTTTTTTTGTGCTCCGTGGGNATACTCCCAATAAAATTAAAAATATTTGTTCAAGAATAACAATATAAACTTATTATAAATATTCTTATGGGTCGTACAACTAGTTTGGGATACAAATATCCTCCATTTCACGCAATATCTCCAACCACCACCTCTCCACTTTGCATCTTCTTTTTCATCGATTGTCCTGTCTACATTGCATGTTTTTAGCATTGTAGAGTCATGTCTCCTTTTCACATCATATGTTGTGGCATCTCCTCCACACAAGTCCCCAACAACCATGGCATAACTCTTCTCTAGCACCATGATCTTCCCATTGAAGTCTTGTCTCTTTACTCCATGTCGTGAGAGTGTGTTGTTTTACCCACCCACCCGGTCATTCTTTTTTTATTATTTTGTTCCTACTACTTTTCACTCATTATATTAGTCTATGTGGATGATATCATTGTTACTTGAAATGATGAAAAGGAGCAACAAAGGTTGAAATATTTTCTATGAAATTATCGGAAACGAGTAATCAACCTACAAACTAGCAAATACACTTGTTGATCCAAATAAAAAGTTGAGAAGTACAAACGATGATGTTGTTGTGGACAAAATTTTGGTGAGACTTACTTATCTATCTCATGTTAGACCATATATGGTTTTTTTTTGTGAGTCTAGTCTGTTCATTTATGCATCAACATAAGAAAGCACATTTACAAATTACTCCTGGAATTGTCAAATATTTAAAAGGGACAATAGGAAGAGGAATTTTGTTGAAAAGAAACAAGAATGTCAATCTTGAGGCATATACAGATGTTGATTCTGCATGCTCAGTTATGGATAGAAGGTCAACTACTAGTTATTGCACCTTCCATCATGGAAACCTAGTAACTTGGAATAGTAAAAGATAAATGGTGGTAGCTAGATCTAGTGTCGAAGCAGAATTTTGAGCAATGACTCAAGGAATATATGAATTGTTATGGCTGAAGATTACACTGGAAGCCTTAAAGACAAAGGAGGATGAACCTATAAGGTTATATTATAACAATTAATCAACAATCAACATACTGCACAACCCTATCCAACATGCTAAAGGAATTTTCTCTATGGAAAATGCAAAAGATTGTAGGAAAGCTATGCTTCCAAGAGAATGGTGGGAGGTATTTTGGGGATGGAGCTTCAGAGTTGAAGAGGTTTGCTATTCGAGTTTTAAGCTTAGCATGCAGTTCTTAGGGGTGTGAGCATGATTAGAGCTCATTTCAAATGGTAATTCAAGTTTATCAAGTTATTTGTGGTTTTTAATTTTATTTATTTGGTGTATAATTTTTAAAAATTCATTTATCTCTAGGTTCATACAAATGGAAGAAACCGGTTTGCATCACAAAAAGACGACTGACTTGGTTTATGTCACGTATAACTTGAAGCCGAAAATAAAATAAAGTATAACAGATAATGAACATAATTATGTTTTAGCGGGTAAGATATTAGAAGATAAAACACCAAATCTTCATTGGACTCAAGTTCAACCAACTACATATATTTAAGTAGGAAGCTTCATTTTGTTAAAAAAATAAGACAATTAGAGGGGGAATCTTTCTTCTTGGCTTCACTTATAGTTGTATTCTGTATTTATTTTGTAACAATGTGATTTTCCTATAGTTCAAGTTTTCATCTAGTAGATGGTGAAGGAGAGAAAATCAATATATAGCCTTAAAAAGCAATAAAGACATATACAAACATGTGTTTGAATGGACTATCAAACTTCATCACTCAATACATGCAGCTGGTTATTTTTTGAAACCCCATGACCAAAGATCACCACAGACCAAAAGATAAGTCTGCAAAAAAAAATTCCAGAAAGTGCGTTTTATTGTAACATTTACATAATCCATATCATGTAACTAGCACTAACCCCATTAAATATTCAAGACCAAACAAAATTTGAAGCCTTGCTGCCATAGATTTCCAAATAATCCAGAATTCCTATACATAATTTCTACCATTTTGCAAAGAAGTTGTGCAAAGTCCAAGGGAAAAGACATAAAACTCTAGCAATTTCAACTTCCAAAAAACCTCAAGGACAACAAGCACTTTCAAAGAATAATACAAGAAACCTAAGCATGGTAAAAAAGCATAGACCCTACAACTACTTTATAATGGCCTTTAATTTATGAGGGATAGAATCTAATATCAAAAGTCACGAAATGCTTAATAGCACAGTAAAGAAATAACAAATCAAAGCCGCACATTTTAATGCTTGATGCACTTTACTGGATTGCCAAAACAAAACACACGGGAAATATATGGACTCCCATATCAAATTTTAACATTCATCGTGTCACCTGACTCAAGAAGTTCATTGCCTCCTTAACAACTTCCCTGAATTTGTCATCATCAAGCCAACCAAACTTTGTAATGCGACAAAAGAGTTGGATCAAGGATCCAAGAACAAAGGGCTCCAGTTCTGGTCCTTTGCTTGCCAGATAATTTATGAGGTAGTTTCCTTCAAAAAAAAAATAGCAATTTAATCAATTTGGGCTAAAAGAGAATAGGAAATAGAGCAACCACAGTGAGGGAAAATTGACAGCAAGGTAATCGAAAATACTGAACCCAAATTCCCCAAAAACAACACGAAAAAGAAATAAGAGAAAACTCAAATTATCCACAAAATAAGGTGATGCCAATTTTGGAAAAGAGACTTCAATACATGCAAAATTAAGTCAACAAGTATCTTAGAATGTAATTGACGAGGTTCAAACATCGCTCGGTAAATTCTGTTTAGGAAATAGAGAAATAATGTATTCTTTCCCGCAGACCCAAGCCAAATATTCACAGCCCCTAAAATACTCCTAGTCATAATCATCTGCAAGCAAGAATATTACGAATATCAATCCGGAGCTGTAACGGAAGGCTTTGCTCAGTCACTTGCTTCAACAAGCTCGAACTTGCCAACATCAATGCATACGGAGAGGATGCATTATCCAGAACATATTGGCACTGCGAAATGTAGTCACTGTTCAAGGAAAAGCATTTCAGTGTGCTTTCCGCTTGTGCTCTTTCAACAGAATCCTGCGAGTTATAAAGCCTCTCGCACATTGCTTCCAGCTGGGCTAAAGTCTCCATTCTTCACTATGTACGAAGTGTATCCAACAATTCAGATGAAGAAGTCAGTTCTTCTACTTTTTCCCACGTATAACCAATATATATCTACAAGATTTCATGTGAATTCAAGCATATATTTAGAGGTGGTAGAAACACACAAAAAAGAAACTAAAGCAAGAATCAGTTTAATACAAGCACCACACAACACCAGAGTTGATAAAATTTGATAAGGTAACACTAAAATATTAAATGTTTACAGGTGTACAAGATAATGTTTTCAAATCTGAAACTGTTTCAATTACAAGTATACTCTAAAATACAAAGATAGCTCTGTATAAAAGGATCACAGCAGAATTCGCCATCAAATCCAGCTACAATAGCACTTGTCCAAGTAAAATGATCAGTGCAGTCCTGACAGAAAAAAAAAGGAAATTATTTAAAAAGTAATTCATAATGTAGAATCTATTAATTAAAAAAACTTTAAGCACATGATAGAAAAAATACAAAAACATGTAAACAACTGACATTGTCTTGATCATTATCAAGAAATTGTTCTGAATTCTAAGCAAATCTTGTTAAGACCATAAGAGCAACATCATTAAAGCATGGTAACATATCACGTGTCAAGGCCTGTAAGAGGATGCCCATGAATCACATCGCATTTCCCCAAAACCAGAAATGAAACTAGACTTTAACTCTAAAAGAAGAAAATATATTCACAACAAGATGCAACTCATACTAGATGAAAGATATGTCGCTCCCTCACCTTCCTTAATCAAGATAATATTGTATAACATAGTGGCAAGAATGTTCCTTCTTCCCGTAAAAATTGGGTATGGAAAGAGATAAAAATCAAAATCAGTCATTGAAGTTATTGGCATAAACTATGATTGTTTTACAATAATAATACCTACATGCACTATATATGAACCTTTGTTAGCACCTATTAGCAAACCATATTTTGGTCAATACGCACTTAAAAAAGAGTAAATCCACAACGAATGAGTACTTGCCAAGTTTTGAAGAAGGTATCTCTCACTGGGCTATCAATAGTGACAAATAGTGCACTATACCAGATTTAGGTCACTGCGTTATACACACCTTGTATTGACCCCTTCATTCTTCTCCACTCATGCACACAACCACTCTCCAAGCTATCTCTTATTTTTTTTCAGTGACTCACTCCATTTTCAATGACCTGCTCAGTTCACTACTACAGATTTCTTTCTTCATTTTTGTGCTCGGTTTCTTTTTTTCTTTTTCTTTTTCTTTTTTTTGTGCTCCGTGGGTCTTTCTCCTTCCACTTTCACATATATTTTCCTTTCTTTGCTTGGCTCTTTCTTTTTCAGCCACTATGTATTTTCTTCTTCTTAGTCACTATCAATTATTCTTTTTCTTTTTTCTCTTACTGTTCACATCAGCACCAGTAGCTACTTGTAAGTTTTCTATCGGTACTACAGGTTTTATTATTAATTACGAATAGGTTAAGAATTGAATATATATATTCTATTTCTGAGTGCTTGTATTAAATATTTATAACAAATAAATTAGTAAGAAAGGAGAGACACAAATGGAAGAGAAAAAAAATCACCAAAAATAATATCGAACGATGGCTAACACAATAAGTATAGACACAGCACATCAAATCCATCTACATCTACCAAAGACACCCTCTAAAATCACCATTATATTTAAGAAATGCAAATTGAGAATAATAAAGTCTTTCAGAAAATTGCTAAGCTCTAAAATCAACACTCAGTAAATGTTAATCTGCAAATTGACACTTCACTGAAATGGACCCACACCGTGTATGCATAGGCTGCCAGCC